CTGATTCAGTGACTAGGGAAATGACCCATAGCCCAGAGATAAGGAACTCATTATCATTAGAGTAACCTAGTCCACTTCTGGGTGATTCCAGTAGCAACAAACATCTTCTCAAGAAAAATCTGAACTCCTTTCTGCTGCTGCTTCTATTCAGCCAGGCACGTGGGCTACGAAGATGCTAACAGCTTTTATGAAAAGGTATCTGCAGCCACATGCAGGGTGTGCACCTGCAGGCCCACTACTCAGGAGTGGCTGGCAGCAGAGTTGGGAATACTAGGCCAGACAGAGTGACAAGTAAATTTCAAAGGGCCAGTCTGATCACAGAGTAGCTGCATAGCACATGCAAGGCCCTGGGGTCAATCCTCACTACAGAAAAAAATTTAAATTTAAAATTAAGAGAAGAAAGTATAAAAAAGACATTCTCTAGCCACAACTTTTAAAATGCTAAGATTTCCTTGAAAATCCTTCAACCACATCTTACACCACAAGGCACACCATCTCCCCTCATTTATTTCTCTTTTGGGGCTGTGGACATTCCTGACTATCCTGAGGTTTTGAAATGATCTGTAGTTACTTCCTGTCGCCACATAAACTCTATTTCTTTAAACTGGCAAAAAAACCAACCTGAGCAAACAATAGAAGAACCATTTATAGAGACGTCTTCTAGTTTCAGACACTAGTAAATACTAGCTCTTAAAATGTATTTCACATTTACATTTACAAACTTATTTCAGGCACTGAAAATGTCACTGTTTTAATACAGTGTTAGAAGCTTGAGTTTTTGGGTTCAGTACACTTGATGTGAACCTCAGCTTTGCCCTTATCACTTATTTTATCTCGCTCAGTCTCAGTTTGTTGGAAATAAGGAGCAGATAAATAGGAACACTGGGAACCTCCACCCCACCTCCTAATTCCCACCTCTGCAAGGCGGGAACTGTGCACCATCAATCTGCTTTTTCTCTTACCACAATCATATTTCCACCAGATGACCCCAGAAATGCTGAGCTACTAAGTAAAAGTAATAGTAATTACAGTAATTTATGGAAACTGCTTATCATTTAAGCCTTAATTACAACGCAGCACAATAACAATTATACAAGCCATTAAGTGTGTCAGATTCACTTTGCTGCATGCTTTATCTGATTTTTAACATTAACATCTATTCACAGAGGTTTAGTTTGCTGCTCACAGCATGTGTCTCCTTGTAATTAAAAAAGCGTTACAGGGAACAGTGCCTAGAAGGGGAAATCAAGCACCTTAGGAAGAAATTAAAGAAGTAATTTATTTCAAAAAGATTCAACTACAGTCAGTTCTCTTATCTCTTTCTCTACTTAAAGAACACTTGCAGGATGCAAGAGGATCATTTCTTGTCTCTAGATTTCTGTGGAAAATCTTTTTGCAGCAGGAATAAAATGCTGGCAGCTGACAGATCAGCTTGATCTGGTCAAGTGCCCATCTCTTGGTCCAGGAAACCCTAGCTGAGTAGCGGACACATGGGCCTTACGATAAAGAACATGGGTTCTTTGGGAAACAGATACTACATTGGGATTAGAAGTGCCAGTGTTTTAAATCTGCCTTCAGAATGCAGGCAAGAGACAGCCCAGTTAGAATTCCTCAATGGGATTCTCTTGATGCATAACAACATTCGCAGGAACACCACTCATAGTTGGGCATTGTTTGGTTGCTGACTGATAGACCTAACCTGAGTCAGTACCCTCTTGAATTTCACAAACAGTGAGAACAGGCCCATTAAAGAGAACAGGCCTTATATAATAAAGAACTGCAAGAGTCATCCACTACGGAGGTGGGGAAATGTGCTGATAAACTTCCTGTAAGTGACCGTGAGTCAAACGGCATTTCAGTGCAAAGTACAGCCACTCTGCCTGCCAGTTCCTCCAGCAAGGCCAGCCATTAGAAGTCCCCTCTCGATATGAGCATACAGCTTTGCAAGTCTATGCAGAAGTGAGAGGAAGAGGACAGCCAAGTAGCTAAAACAACCCTCTCTAGCAAAAAGTCAGCGCTCACAAGCTACAAAAACTGTTATGAATCTCAATGTTTTTTAGTGCCTCAATGTTAAGAAGTGGACTGCTGGGTGTAACTGCTTGCCCTCTAACTTTCCCTGGCATCCTGGGGGTTTCTCTGACTCAGCGGATGCTTGCTTACTGTCAGTTAAAAGGAGAAGCGGACAGGAACCTTAGTGGTCTTTTTGCTTCTGCCACACAAAATCCCCAAACCACCTCCTAGAAACACTTCATGCTTCGTTTTCCCTAGAAAGCAAGGCTGCTTCCTGTGCTGCTCCTTCCCTCTGTGCTCCTCATTTTGCTCCAACAGTTGGCCCTTTTTCCTATGGCAAGGCCTCCTTCCTTCATTTGTGTTCCGAAGCTTTAGTCACGTTCATTCCCTGCCTCAGAAGAGCTGAAGCTGAATTTCACTGCTATCTCCTGAGCTACCGCTTTATGTCCTTCTCATTGCAAGTTTCCTGTAAGAATTTTCACTCCAGTTACCTTTTTCGTTTCTTGTTTTGACTCTTCTTTCTTAGTCTGCCTAAAGAATTTTCGATTTTGTTCATCCTTTTAAAACACCAAGCCTTAGTTTCACTGATTTTTTCCTACTGTTCTTGTAGAGTCTATTTCACTTATTTCCTCTCTGAGCTTTGTTGTTTTCTCACTTTTTTTAAAAATTGTACTAATTTTAAACTTAAGTTTTTTCTTTCCCCAGTTCCTCAATGTATAATACATTTAAGATCATTTCTTTATTTTTTATGTCCTTCAGCTCTGGGGTTTTCACCTGGTTTTATAAACATGTACAGTTTTAATCTCTCTTAATTGTCTTACTTTAGTCACTTAACGGTTTCCTTGACTTCACTGAATTGTTTTTTCTGAATTTTTAAAAGTTGAGCGAACTTCCTTAAAACAATTATTTTTTAGTTATCTGTCAGACAGTTCAATTATCTCCTTTTCTTTGTGGTCAGCTACTGGGGAATTACTGTGTTCTTTAGGTGGTTTTATTGTTTCTTTTTACCTTGTTTTTGTCCCATTTCCTGTTGCCTTATGTTGCTGTTTGCATATGGGAAGCAGGGAGTTTTCTCTACCTATACAGGTTCCAAGCCTGCCCAGCACCAGGCCAGCTGAGACCTCTGGCTTTAGACCAGTACACCTGAAAACAAGCCTCCGAGCCAGTGTGGCTGTAGCATCGCGTGAGCTGAGCTCCAGGCCTGCCCAGGGCACACTCCAGGTCTGCTCCCAGGGCACCCTCAGTGGTTTCAAGCTTGCAGTGGCTCCACACCTGCTCAAGCCTACGCGGCCAGGCTCAACTCAGGAGACCTCAGTGCTGAACCCTAGGACCCAAAGCCAGTGGTAGCCAACCTATGGCACAAGTGCTATTCCTCAGAACAGAAGACGTAAATATATGAGTTGTTCTTCTAAACTAAAATCTCAGTATCCAAGTTTCCTTGCAGTTTTGGCACTCTGTGATCCATAGGTAGGTTTGGGTTGCACTTTGGGTACTCATCTCTAAAAGGTTCGTCATCACTGCTCTAGGCCAACACCTGCACACTCAGCTTCCAGACTGGGATCAGTTCACACAGACACCGATGTCAGTCCCAAGGGACTCAACCCCAAGAGTTTCAGATCAGTCCCTGTCATCCTAGACTCCAGACCAGCCCCAGCAGATGTAGGTTCCACAACTACCTGTCCCAGCACTAGGTTCATCTCAGGGTTTATGGGATATAGTCTTAATAAACTTTACAGACACTTGATTCCTAGCACACTGACTGTCATACAGAAGGAATAGACAAATATTTAAACTAGCAAACAGGAAAAACAATGTTCTTTTGAGTGCAGGTAAAGTAAGAACAACTAAGTTTCTTTATATATAAAATATGGTGGATGGTACCACCTTTCTGAGATTTTTATGAAAAATACCAAGATGGTCCTTAAGATACACAGTAGTACCAAATCTTAGCAGTTATATGGGAGTAAGGGTGTATGGTATACATTAGGCTGCTGGTTGGAATCAGCACCGTTCTGGGTCTGGCTGAAGGGCTTTACTGAAAACAGAAGCCCTACCTGGATGCGGAAGGCACCACCCAAAGATCTGCACCCCAGATAGGATAAAAGGGAGAAGCAGGCTGCCTCTGCTCTCTGCCTGCCCTGCCATGGATTGCATCTCCTCTGTGATCCGCCCTGCCAGCCAACTACAAACTGAAACTTCTACAAACTATGAGCTAAATAAACCTTTTCCCTCTCAACTCTGGGTGTCAGCTATTTTTTCCCAGGAATGAAAATGTAACTAAGGCAGCATTTAAATGAATTTTTAAAAGGAAAAAGTCTAATTTTAATTACTTAGATTTGTACTGCTTAAATTTTTTCATATTTTAAGAAATATCTCCAGTTTTAATAACTGCAGCAACATCTCCAAAAGTTGATAAAAAATCAGTATCTGTAGTAGTTGAAGTCTTATGTTTATTAATAATATAAATATCTGAGAATAGATTCACAAAGCTTACCACCTATTCTTAAACAGGTTCACAGTCATTAAAAATACCCAGTAATAACAAACTTGAGGGTCAAATACACATATTCCTACTATTCTTACTACATGCAGATGTAAGTAATGGCACTAATACTGATTTTCTTTAACCAATCTAGGATTATAATCTATTTTCTTTGATGTGCATTGGCAAAGACCAAACTTGATGCAAAGCTAATTTCTTCCATGATACAGTTTTTTTCAGAGATTAATTCCTAAGCATTAATCACCCATTGCCCCAACACTACTATCAATTCCAATTACCCAACACCATTATTTCTAATTGGATCCATCCTAATACTGATAGCCATTTGCATCATGCTTAGTGGAAAAAAAGTAATGCGACCCTTCCATCCAGCTAACAATGATGCTACTGTTACAAGACAAGACTATTTTGAAATATTTGGATATTTTAAATTCAATTTTGAGATCCATTATCGGCAATTTTTTAAAAAACCAAAATGAATACTTACGATACATCTTTAAAGTCTCCAAAAACGTACATGTGCCTAAAGCTGTCAATGGCTATAACAGGGCAATCTGCTGGAGTTTTCTGTATATGTAGAAGAGGATGTCTAAATTTGTCACAATCAGCATGTAAAAAGTTTATTGTACCTTTGAAAAAAAAATTTTGATAAGTGTATCAGAATTTTGTTGATTGTATTCTCTTAGTATTTTAAACTTACAAAAAATGACATTATAAACAAAATCTTCACCTACATTTATTAGACTAATATAGTCTTTAAAAACTAAAATCTAAATATTATTAACATTTAAAGGAAACAGGATTTTAGTTTTAAAGACAGAGTAAACTGCCTTAGAAAGTATAAGAAAACTCAATTTGGGATGCTACAGTGAACCTTTTATTTTCTTTAAATGGGTGATCATGCACTACGCAGGTTACCCCATGTGGGCAGCAAGCTCCTGAAACTGACGAGCTATGAACTATTCCATGGGACCAGCCTCAGCCAGCCCCTTACAGTCTGAGCTGATTGCTTTCTAAACTAAATCAGCCACGAAAGTATTTACTGAGGGACTAAAAAGAATAGCTCTACACAATACCATTGGTTTATTTTGTTTGACAAGAATTCTTCCCTAAGTACGAAGGGGAAGCAGTTGACGCCCCAAATTCTGTTTACATACTTTATAGAATCCACGGACAGCTGCTCCATCTTCTTTCATTTAAAAACAAATGTGGATCAGATTGTGTATATTCTCACAGCAGTATCTCTGGGAATGTCTACCAGAAAAGGTGTCAGTCAAGCACCAAGATGCTGCGAGAAAGTGCTCCAAACTAATGATTTTTACCCATGAACCCAACTCTCATGCTATTTGATTTTTCTCTCTAAACAGTTATGGTGCAGAAACAAAAACAAAAATATCCCTTTACATGATCTGTCTTCTAATGCCTCCTCATTTTTACATTTGAAGACAAATGTTAAAATAACTTGTTAAGCTTTTAACCCAAATATGTGGATATAACTGTAACAGGAGGAGCAAAAAGAAAGGATGAAAATAAACACCTTAATCTGTCTACCTTTTTCACTTATTAATTGCCGGGCAACTTCATTCTGGAATATTTCCAAACTTTCTGTATCCTCTTTCATGTGGAAGAGTATGAGAAAAGGAAGTCCTTCTTCTGTCAATTCCTGCAGAGATAAGCATTTGATGAGATTTACCAGGCCTACCCACTTAATTTCAGCTATTTTCTAAGTCCAAATAATTATGGGCCTGCCAATGTAAGGCAATAGTTGCAAATCTCAGGGCAGCTCTTTATGAAGGTGTTGGGAATGGAGTAAACATGATAGTATTTCCAATCCTACAGGAAAAAGTAGAGTGTCCCAGCAATAGATAAATCTCATTTACAGATTTAAGCTTAATGTTTATTAAAAATCATTCTATAAAAAAAGAAAGAAAAAGATAACTTTACTTACATAAGACCTATCCAGAGTCAAAAATTGTTTCACTCAGAGTACAAGACAAACAGATCATTTTTAACCAACATACAATTTAACACTATTAACAAATACCTTCCCCTACATATGTGTACTTTTATATGCATACTACACACACGAGCACCTTGAAAATTACTAGTGCTCTATTAAAACTGTATTATTATTGAATACAAGAAACATAATGCATATACAGCAATTTTAGTCATTTATTCTCTCTTTTTTTTTTATACTGGGAATCGACATTTATTCTCTTTAACAAATGCTAAGTTCTGGCTTATAAGTAAGAAAAAGTCCAAAAAGAGCTTCCCAAAGAACAATTAATTCCATAAAATATCCTTCTGAAGTATCTCCGTTAACTGGGCAACTCCTTCAGGATGAAGTAGAAATATATTTTTCATCCTCAAAAAAACAATCAAATGAGACCTATCTCTAGGACAAAAGTTTTCTTCTGGTTTCTATCTCCATGTTTTAATCTGTTTTACTCGTATACAGGATAAATTATTTAAGTTTTTTATCACATTTATGCCTTTTCTTTGAGATATAATTTACATATCATTAAATTTACCATTTTAGATGCACAATGAGGCAGCTACTATAATCACAAAACTGTTCAAATTGTACTACTAACTCCAGGACATTTTCATCAGCCCAGAAAGAAACCTGCCCCACTACCAATCACTCCCCATCTCACCTCCCCGAGTCCCTGGCCTCCACTGATCTTCTTCTAAACTCATTTAAAATGTCTTTTTCACAGTTTATCTCTTGGGCTTGCATTTTTTTCTCCTACCCGCTTACTGATGTTACTCCCTCTGGTTCTGTCTTTGGGCTTCTCTGCTCTAGACTTGCAACCATACACAGTGTGACAATTTCCACTACTAGTTTTAACCGGTCTCTTAGCTACGTAGAGAATCCCACCTTCAGTCCAGATCCAAGCCTAGCTTTCCAGCTGCCTGCTTAGCATCTTTCTGTCATGGCCTATCAACTCCCTAAGTACACCGAATAAAAGCAGTTGTCTCCTCCAGCTTTCCCATCTCCTTTATTACTGCTTTTTTTCCTGTTAAATACTTTGTTTCAGGGCTGTCTATCCTCTCCTTAAAAGCATTCTCTGATTCTACCCCATCTCTAGAAGTACAAATGAATTCTTTAAACCCAAAGAACAAATTTTCAGTGTTTCTCAAGTGGCATAGGACATGTCTTTATTTATGTACAAGGAATACTACCCTGAAAACCTCCTGAAGACAGATATTGTATTACACCTTTCCCTGCATACAGATTTTTGTACACAATAATATGTAATCAGCATTTGACAAAAAATGAAATGTTATTGAATAAATACTAACTGGGAAAGAAGACTCAGCAGTCACCTCAGGATATTTAAGAGCTATGAAATTTAAATAACATAACATTATTTTATTAGACTTAATAGAAGTATAGGAAAGCAATAATAAAGAGGTTAGTGGTTTAAAAATATACATGTCAATTAATTTACTAAGGTTAAACACAATTTATGCTTCCTAGACAGTCAAGTTTATCTATGTTCTTACCAGCATATTCTTTATCAAGCAAGTATTAAAAGATTAAGGAAAAGGAAATCAAAACAGCCAGATTTAATAGAAACAAATCTTTCTCTATGCAGAAGTTTAAACCATTTATGGGTGGTTAGCCGTAACATACAGTAAATTTCAAAAATTATTAAATGTGTCAACTAGTACATAAGGCAGATTGGAGATGCTGTTTAGTTAATATTTTCCAGTTTTAAATTTTTAAAGTACATTTATAAAACTACTCCTGTAAGAAATGCTAAAGAAGGAGAAAAGTCCAACAAATTACTAAATCTTTCTGAGCCTCTGAGAACTAAATGAACTAATGTAATAAAGAAATATAAGTAATTCAGTCAAACATGCATTAGGTCTAAAGAAGTGGAAGAAGAAACAGGGATATTCATTTGTTCGATCAATCATAAGCAGAAAGAGATTAATCCATGCGCTAGCTATGATACAGGTATGTTCACCATATGATTTTTACAACTGATAAACACTTCAAAGAAACACAATGGGCTACTTATGGCTGGTCTTTAATATACATGAATTTAAAATAATGTCACACAATAAAATGCCATACCTCTCCATTTTCAAATGTTATTTCTCGGACAAGCGGAACACATTTATCTTGAATCCAATTGTAAGTCAGGTCAAAATTTGTCATAGATCCCAAGTATACCATGTCTGGAGCAGAACGCTGTCATAAAACAGGAAAAAACAAATTAGACAACTCAAACCTGCCCTGGCAAAGACACATTTTAAAATTCATCCATGAACCCACAAAATCTATAGGAGATACAAAACATGGAACTTCTGAGAAAAAAATCCATAGATAAGTGAAAAATTATCCAAGTGAATAAATTAAATTATTCCTTAGAATTAAAAATGTTAGAAGAAAATTTAAAGAGTGCAAAATGCTTGAAAATGTTACACAGAAAACTAAGTCATGAGTGTCTCTAATACTAATTATCTACAGATTGGTTCCCCATTCACTAAAATCAGTATTTGTGAAGCCTTTACAATGATGGTAAGATGATAATGCACACTAGGTTTACTGTGCTGAAGCCATGTTATGAGCACTTCATACATGGTGATTCATTTAATCCTCCTGATATCCCTCTATGACAATGACTGCTGCTATCATCCTAGAGCAAAACACCTAGAAGGTGGCAGAGGTGACATTCCAATTCTGATGGTCTAATGCCAGAGCTCGTGCTCCTAAGTACAACACATTGGGAGACACTGTCCTGGATTCTGACAATGCAGGATGCTAATACTATGTAAGCTTCTATTAAAGAAATGTACCTACAGAAAAACACAGGCAAATGCCCATCTGCTATGGTTTGAACATGGTTTGTAAGTGTCACCCAAGAGTATATATGCTAGAAGTCCTGGGTGGCAGTATGACAGCTGGCAGAACTTTTAACAGGTGGAATATAATTACGTTACTGGGGGCGCTGCCCTCAAAAGTGACAAATTAGTTCATACAAGGGTTGAGTCGTTATTTAAAAAAAGGAAGGAAGGTAGGTAGGTAGGTAGGTCAGCTCTCCCTGTATCTGGTTTCCTATCTCTCAGCATGTGACTTCTGCATGTGGCCAGTCCCCTCCTGCTTCCCCATTACACTGTGATGTCATAGGCCACTGACACACTTTTAAAATTCAGCTCCCAACTTGAATGCAAAACAGAGAGGAAAAAAGGCAAGAGCCTGAGACTAGAGAGATCACTATTCACAGCTTGGCCATTAAACATGCTTATGTGACTATAGGTATGTCCCTGCTTTCACTCTGAAACTTCTGGATTAGCATAAAAATGATGCTTCAAAGTTCCTTTAGTTTTATGCACCTATAAACATCAAAACATATAAAATTACAGATTACCCTATACATCTATTTAAACATCCTGTCACAAGCTGGGGAGCAGTGGTGCATGTCTTCAATCCCAGCTACTCAGGAGGCTAAGACAGCACAATTGTAAATTCAAGTCCACTCTGGGTAACTTAGGGAGATGTCTCAAAATTCAAAAAGACCTAAAAATGTAGCTCAATGACACAGCACTTGCCCTGTGAGTCCTGGGTTTAATATCTGGTACTGTAAACAAATGAACAAACAAACATTTGATTATACACACTAAGAAATAGCAACTTACCCCTGGTGGTTTGTAGATTATGTTGTCTCCACTATATCGTTCTGGTTTTGACACATCCCTAACCAAAAGAAAAATATCTAATAGTATTTTTTAAAGAAAAACACCAATATACTTGAAGAAAGCAGAATGAACCAGTTATTTTGCAATGTGTGAATAATAAAGACTTGCAATAATATACTTGTCCACATCTTTTCCATTTACAGGACTATGCAATCCTAAAAAAACTATTTAAAGGAAAAATTTACTATCAAGCAGATTCTGAAAGGAAAATTTTAGTTAGCTATTACGACTACTATAAGTTGCAAATGGCAGTTTTAGCACTAAAGCTGTCTTTTTTTTTTTTTTTTTTTTTTTTTGTACCAGGGATCGAACTCACGACCTCACACTTGCACGTAGGCACTTATACTGCTAGGCTAAATCCCCAGCACTAAAGCTGTCTTAACCCCAGACTGCATTTCAACTATAATCAAGGACATTAATTAATTTGGTCACACAGATATATATTATACAGCAAATAACCATCTGCTATACCCATCATCTATATACATATAAAGCCCATCAAAAAAATATGTGTATACTTGAGGAAGAGAAATCCTTGCATAAATATATTGATACTAAATTCACTGAGACATCATGAGGTGAATACAATTACAAGAGGTAGACAAAGTGGTAGCTATTAGTTTCCAAATATTTATTATTTCACACTCAACCATGACTTTAATATTTCTTTTTTTAAAATTTTATTTTGGAAAAAACAAAACAAAGTTTCAAAACATAACTGGAGAATAACATATTTAACACATTGCATACCGTTATCTTCAAAGTAGTTACTCAGAGTACAAGGTATGGGTGTAAAAATTCTCCAAACAGTATTAGCACAAAACTTTCTTTTCAATGAACTAAGAGAAACTAACACTTCTAAAAAGCAGATGAATTAAAATAATACATCATAAAAATATAGTTCACAGAAAAAACAGTTTTTGTTTATTTCTCCCCTACTGTTTCCTGCCTACTACAGATCCTAGAACATAAAAGGTACACAATAAATGTTTGGTAAGAAAATTCTACAACAAACTCTTAACTGGAAGGACTTTATCTTTCTTTAAATAATTTTTAGATTAATTGAACACTGATTTATCTCCAGTTTCTGACTATAATAGCCCAGAAGATAAGACCAAAGGTGCTAAATGAGGCTGACAAAAGAGGGAACTGAGAGGCCAGGGATTTGGCTCAGCAGCATAGTGGCAAGCATGTGTTCATGATCCCTGGTACCAAAAAAAAAAAAAAAGGGGGAACAGAAAGGAAGAACATACTATATCCTGTGAGCTTCCTTTGTACCATTATGGTCTTGGCACTGGACCTATTATAGTGAACAAAACTGACAAAACCCTCAATTACACAGAACTTGCCTTTGGGTGAGAAAAGACTGACTGATGATTAGATATACTTATTTGGGGTGGTTTAAAAAAAGTGCTTTAAAGAAAAGTAAGTGGCATTAAGTACAAAAGAACATGATGAATGATGGCAGTGCTCCCCTATATAAGATTATCGGCGAGGATCCTGGCAACAATGACCTCTGGAAGAAGCACTTAGAGACACAGGAGCAGCAGGGACAAAGGCTCTGTGGTGGAAATCTATTTGCAGTATTTTAGGGACAACGAGGTTGCCTGCAGTGATTGGAGTGGGGAAGCTCTGTCATGTCCTCTGTACAGATATTCAAACGACTCCAGTCATGCTTAAAATGAAACATGCACATTAGCAAAATCTACAAAAGCACTGAAGGACAAAGGACAAAAGTCACAGGTGAAGAAGGACATACTCTGCCAGATATCTGGGCCTTACTGATGACAGCTACTGCAACCAAGTGTTTAACTATACAGGCCAAAAATAAGAGAAGTAACTGCATGGCAGTCAAAGGACAGCTGTAATGGAGCCTCCAAAGAGAAGCTCAAGGATGTAACCAAAGAATGACTCAGTTCGAGAGAAAAAGAACACAAAGGAGAGAAAGAAGGGTAAGAACTAGCCATAGGGATCCAACTGCGTGTCAAGACAGCAGAAAAAGAAAATGGTAGGTAGGTGGGGTGTTCCTTGCTTTGGAAAGCTGAAGAGGATCAAGACTGAAAAAGACCACTGGATTTGGTTAATTAAGGAGGCACTGTTTCACTGTATACAGATAAGACATCCCTCAGAGGGACAGAGGTGAAAGTCAGCTTCCAAGGGTGAAGGTTTTTAACCTGTTACGTTTGTGAAAAATCAAGATGGCCAAGCATAAATTAATCTGAAAATTGTAGGAATGGAATAGAAAAGGGAGATAAGATTATAGCTTAAGAAAGAAATGTGGCCCAGCAGGCATGGTGGTGCATACCTGGAATTCCTGCTACTTGGAGACTAGACAGGAAGATCTTAAAAGCACAAGGCCAGCTTAGGCAATTTAGCAAGAAACAGTCTCGAAATATTATTTTTTAGAAAAGGCTGGGTATGTAGCTTAATCACCTCCTCAGGTCAATCCTGCAGAGAGACAGACAGACAGAGACAGAGAGAAACAGAGACAGAGACAGCGGGAGGGAGAAAGTGGTGAATCGGGAAAGAGAGAAGAATGTTTCAGAAGAGGAAAACAATTTTGAAAAAGGTCAGGGTGACAACACAAGGCCATCTGTGAAGAGGTTAACCTTACAAAGGAGCATTATTGGGCTGAATGAAATTCGGCTCACCGGTAAAGCCCATGCTTAGACCAGGCTTTCAACACCAGCACCCCCATCTACAAAAGGAGACTTGTTTCTATGTGACAGGGAAGATATATGAAAACGTACTGGACAGACAAAAATAAAGACACAAAGCCTGTACTTCTCAACGAGTAACAGTATGCTATTTTAGTCTTGTAACCCGCTCCCAGGTTAGCAATTTACCTGGCATAGGGTGTTCACAAATAAAAACATGTATGAATGAGTTCACTCTTAACTGGTCCATTCTTCTTCTATCGAGAATATTATTGAAGAATAAACAGGCTTTTGAGCCCCTAAAAAGTACTTAAGAGGTAGCTATAGACATTGGTCAGTGTCCAAGTCACTTGGACACTGGAGAACTGGAGAACAGTTCTCCAAGTCACTTGGAGAACTGAGATAATATTTGGAGAGCTATCTTCAGAAAATGACCAAATACAAGAACTTAACACACCAGCCAAGTTGATCCATTAACACACTTGCAATTAAAGTACTCACCCAAATGCAGAGAGGAAGACACAATCATCGTGCAAAATACTTGCTACTCTTTCAAAAACTTTATAGTTGGCTGAATCCTTTTGCTCAAAAAATCCAATGATATTTCTTTTGCTGCGCTGTAAAATAAAGCATTCAAATATTTTGCGAACATGTATAGTTCTATAAGCACTGGTACCCACATAGCTCCAATGTTGTTCAATTACCTCTGATCAAAGTGCAACTATAAATTCATACTTAGCTTTAAGCACCTAGTACAAAACTACTAAAAATGAGATTGAGTTGTAAACAACTACACTAAACTTTAACTATACACATGTCCTTGCAGCATTTTAAAACTTCAATAAATAAATTTATTTAATCAGTGAAAATCTTTTCCTACAGAAGGTGACTAACTCTAAAATTTGCAAAACGATACAGCAACTCAATACTTTTGACTGTTCGCAGAGACTCCTCCACGGGTCTCTCACACTGCTCCTAATCATCTAAGCATATAAACCAAAAATGGAAGACCCTGTGACCACTCCCCACCTGGTCATTTCTTGAGGCTGTGGCTACAACAAGCAGCACCGAGATATGAGGTATTATCTTCACCCAAGACAAAAAGCAGAGTAATAGCTTGCTCGGAAATAGCTTCCCCAATCCTGAGGGTTCCCTTCTCTCTAACAGAACAGAAAGCATCTGCATCTATCTATTGGGCCCTCTGTATTACTGCCAAAGGATTTGGGGGGAAGAAAACAAACGCAAGAATGCTCGCAATGCTCGCTATAAACATGAGCAATGAAGTCCTTTGTCTCTCTCTGATCCAGGATTCTTGTGTCTTCTCAAAGCAACTATGAAATGGTTACCAGATAATTTATTAGCATGTAAGGAAGGTAAAAATCACATCTCAAATTTGACAGTAACATCAGTGATTGTGGTAAAACTAAAACCCAATTGTTTTTGCTTTTGTTATAGTGTGCTATATTTTTAAAACACTAGATGTGATCAAAATATATGGTAAATGCTCATTTTTTAAAATTACACTAAAGACACATTGCCATTAAACCCTCCCCAAAGACTCCTCCTTTATTCAAACACACTTATCCCATCACTGCTGCCACTTTCTGAAGCAGTTCTGAAAGTCCTCTCGAGTGTCTTTGCAAAGTAGGATGAAAACCATGGTGGCCGCTGCTGTGACTGCCATCCTGCAGAAAGATGGGCTCATAAATACACTGCAGTGTGTCCTCTTCGCCTTACTCGCTGGCTCTGACACAAGGGACATCTGGCTGTCCCCAAAGTCAAATGACTGCAAAAGGTAAACACTGTGCATCGGTTTAGCACACTGAGGCAGTCCAACTAAAGACATGAAAGAGCATAACTAAAAGCATGCAGGAGGACCTTGACAGCTGCTCCAGAAAGTGGCAAAACAATGGAGCCAGGGTACCTGAAGAGAGGGGATTGAAGGCAATGTGTCTTTTTTTCCTGTAAGAATTTTAACTTTTGAACATTCGTTGTATTTTTCAATCGTATGATGCACCTAGAGTGACAGTGCAGTGCTAAGCTTATTAATAGGGGTATTTACAGGACACTAAATCTTATATAAAAAGCTGATTAATGAGTAATTAAAGCAGATACTCCAAAGGTAGATGTGAAAACTTTGGTTATATATGCTTGATTTTTAAATTCTATTTATAATCCAGGCTTCCCTTTGTCCTCAATTAATTCAAAAATTTTCAACATTACTTTATGCTACATATTTTATACAGTAAAACATTAGCACCTCCCTTGAAAATTAATTCAAGAAAAATTCAACTCATTAAGTATACACGTCAGATCTATTGCAGCAATCTCAAAGTGAGCGTCCAGATCCTTCGAATTAGCATTTGTTTAATTAATTAAAAAGGCAGTGTTCTAATTAATCCAAAGTTAACTTACATCAAGAGTAGTGATTTCTTCTAAGTTCTGCATTTCTTGAACGGGGTCGCTTTTTTGTTGCCTGATGTAATCTGCAAGTGCTTTCACTGATCGCTGACCCCTATATTCTCTCTTCATCATCATTCCATTACGAAACAATTTGAGGGTTGGGTATTTGCTTATCCTGTATCTCTGGGCTATATCAGCTAAAAGAATAATAATTTTAAAACATTAACTTTATCTCATGGTCAAGGTTAACACACTGGCCAAATAGGCAAAAAGCTTACCATTACTTAGAGATTTTTTTAAAAAATCATTTACTTTTTTATTTATTTAGGTTCAAGTCATTCTTTTTTAGCAAGAGAGAAAAAAATAAATTAATCATGACTTGAGTTTACACTGGTTAAATTAAGGCCAGGTTCTCGACTCTATTGCCTGGGATTAAAACCTGAATTTGCCACTTATTGGCAGTATGAACTTATAAATTACATAAACTATCGGTACCCTAGTTTTTCATCTTTTACAATAAGGATAATAATAATTTATCACGTATCACAGCTGGGCGTGGTATGCACTCCCTGTAATCCCAGTACTCGGGAGGTTGAGGGAGGCAGATCGTCGTTGCAAGTTCAAGACCAGCCTGGGCTATAAAGTGAGCCCAAGGCCAGCCTAAACCAAATAGCAAGACCCTGTCTCAAAAAAAGACTAATAATAATTATAATTTCTATCTCATAAGGTCTTTTTAAAGATTAAATGAGATAATACAAATGTACAGCACGTAAGTATGGTATATGAGTCTCTGACTATAAAAAACAGCAAAACAATTATGCCGTATGAGGAATGACACAAATTAAAATGTACAATAATAGCAGCACATAAACTATGAAAAGGGTATAAGCAGAAGGTAAATTACAATAAATACTCTAAGGCCTTTGTGCTCTCGAGAATAGGTAAAAGTACAATACTTTGACACGTCAATGTCACATTTTGTTTGCTCCAGATTAGCAGTCAGAGAACAGAGTACTAAAGGTGTATTAGATATTAAGGGCAGAATACAGGTTCTCAAAGGAAGAGTGAGAGAAAGGTCTACATAATTAAGCTTACATAACATTCTAGTAAACCCGACAGAAAATTAATAAAGAGGAAATTACTGATTACTAAAGCTCTTTAAATGGAAGCAAGTAACAGTAATAAAGGAAACCACTGGTCATCAATAAGAGACTGAAAACAATGCTTTAGGGCCAGGGATTTAGCTCAGTACCCTCAGCGTCTGCCTGGCAAGCACAAGGTTGTAAGTTTGATTCCCGATACCAAAAAAAAAAAAAAATTTGTAAAAACAATGCTTTATTCAGAAAATCTGAAACAATAATACATCCTCATTTTAATGCATATATTTAACAAAGACAATATTAACTTGGTTTAGGACTTGAAGCTTTCTTAAAAGAGATGACTAATGAATGTAACAGACATCCTCCTTCTCTAACCTACTAGACTATAATGAGAGAATTATGGCACCGAGCTCAGTCTGACCACCTAGGTAAAAACTGATTAAGACTAAACTGGTACTGGAAACTGGCACCATAATGCATGGAAGACTTTCAGGTTACAAAGAGGCACTGGTAATAAGGCAAAGACCACCAGCATGGCTGGGGCTTACTCATAAGAAAACCAACTCAAAGAAATAACAAAAAGAAAATAAGGAACTTTACTTTCCCAAGCACACTGAACCCCAAGACATTTTATGGACTTTTACAGTTATATATAAACTAAAAAGCTTTTAATAAAATACTGTATCAGTAGATTAAATAGCTCCACTGGCCAACGCGACACTGTTGTGGGCTAGATGATGGAAAATATGTTTATAAAAGTCACTATTTTCCCAAATATCCATCCAGAGAAGGGGGTTTAATAAAGTACAGTGCACCCATTCAGTTAAGTAGTAGGCTGTTACATAGAAGAATGAAAAAGACTTCTGTATCTCTGTGGCTAATGTGCAATATACAAAATAAAGTACTCTGCTGAAATAGTGTTGGGGAAGATGTAAAGAAAAGAGAATCCTTGCATACTTTTGGTGGGAATGTAAATTAATAGAGCCAGTATGGAAATTAAGGAGGTTCCATAATTCCAAAAAATTAAAAATGCAACCAATCACATAATAGGATAACACCACTGCCGGATACAGATCTGTCATGGTTTGGGTCTGGAATGTCCCCCAAGGGCCCGTGTTAAAGGCTTAGTCTCCAATGCAGCTATGTCCAGAAGCAAGGCTTTGGAGAAGTAACTGATCCATGAGGGATGTAACTTCATCAGTGGATTAATCAGCTGATGGGTTTGTAACATTTATGGTATTATTGGGAGATGGTGGAGACTTCCAGGTGCAGAAGTGGGCCATCAGGGGTGTGGAAAAGTATGTCTTGCCCTTGGCCTATGTCATGGTTTATGTCTGTGTCCTCCAGGCCTTATGAGTTTGCATTGTGAATTTGTGATGGTTCATTGTCTAGTGCTTGGATTGATGGTGTCAGTACTCCATCTACATAGGGGTGGAGCCCGGATGTGATGTATTGGCAGGAAGAAGATGTGTCTTGCTCTTTGCCGATTCCTGTTTGCTGTTTGCAGCCTCCATGAAAGGTGGCCCAGCCATGCCCGCCTGCCTGGGAGCCAACTGAGTGTGGACTGAAATCTCCAAAAACTGTAAGAAATAAACCTTTCCTTTCCCAATTTGGGCATCAGGTATTTTGTCACAACAACGAGAAAAAAGTAATTAAGACAGCCTACCTTCCCACCACTCTTCCCCTCCACCACACCACTCTGGCACGACATTTTTCTGCCCTGGTCTGCCCTGGCACAGACCTCATAGCATGGCAGCCAACTGACCATAAACTAAAACATCAGAAACTGTGAACCAAAATGAATGTCTTCCCTTTGTTACCAATTCTCAAGTGTGCATTTGTTACACAATAATATAATATCCACAGGATATAAAATCAGCATGTCCAAAAAGTATTTAATATCAGCATTACTCACAAAAGATATGAAATCAATTCCAATGTCCGCCATCAAATGAATAAAGAAAATATGGTACATATATACAAACAATAGCCAGTCATAAAAGTAAGAAAACTATCTGATTTGTTACAGCTGAATAAACCTGGAGGGCATTATGTTAAATGAAACAAACTAGGCACAGAAAGACAAACACTGCATGATCTCACTCATATATATCTTAAAGAAATTGATCTCAAATGGTGACTTCCAGAGATCAGGTTGTGTACAGAAAAGTGAGTGTAGTTAATGGTGATATATCACAAAGCACACAGATAGTAGGTGGGTGTTCTATGTCTTTGCCATAAAAATGGTAACTATGGGAGGTAGCACATCTGTGCTACAGTCTGTGTCTAGATGTCCCCCCAAAGCCTCATGCATTCTCAAGGTTTTTTTGGCGATGGCTAAATCTAGAGCCTGCAATGCTGGGATTAAGGGTGCTGAGATTAAGGGTGGGTGACTGCTGGATCAGTCCACTGACTAGACTGGCACCACTCTAATCCCAGAAGACTGCATAAAATAAAAGGGGCAGAAAGGGGCATCCCCTTCCTCCACTGCTGCATTCGCCCTGCCATGAACTGTCCTCCACTGCCAAGCCACCCTGCTTTGAAGGTGGCCAATTACGGACTGAAATTTCTACAAAGCGTGAGCTAAGTAAACCTTTCTGTCCTTAATTTTGGGCACTGGGTGTTTTGTCCCAGCCAAGAGAAAAAGAATTAAAACAACCTCTTAATTAGCTAGGTTTAATCAGTCAACAATATACACCTCAAAACAGCATGTTGCATGTGATTCAAAATGTCCACTAATTTTGAAAAAAAATGAAGTGACTAAAATTCTAATATTTGTAATATAAGTTGGAAGTAACAGCATGAACTTTGTGTGTGGGGAAACAGCACTTAGGGCCTTGCGTATGCTGGACAAGGACTCTACCACTGAGCTACATACTCAGCCTAATACAAATTTCTAATGTGCTTTTCTGTTTCAAAATGTACTTCTTAAAGTCTTTACCTTCATGGCTATTATCAATAATTTAATGCACATAAGTATGAAGATTGAAATAAAATGGAAAAGTCATACTCATGAAGATATAACCTATCAAAACTGACAGTAGAAAACATAAGTAGTTGTAAAATTATTATAAAAACTGAATTTATAATTCAAAAGTGTCCCACAAAAACTCCATTCCCACTAGTTTTATGAACTGAACAAAGTATTTCTGCAAAACTTGGAAGGGAAAATTTTTTTTAAAAGTTTATGTAAATCTTAAAAACATAGATGCAAAACTGTAAAACAAAATATTAATAAATAAGGATAATATACCACAATTTAGTCTAGCTTCAGTTTAGACTAATATTTGAAAACCAATGAACATAATTCACATTAATAGAAGAGAATTCTATTACTCCCAAAGAAGCAGAAAAAAGTTTCATAAAATTCAACATCAATTCATCTGTAAACACTCCTAGCAAATCAACATTAAAATTTTCTTAATCTTATAAAGGATATTTAAATAAATACCACATAACTTGACAGTGAAACACTGATGGTATTAAGAAATAAAAGCCAGGCATTGTGGAGTAAACCAGTAATATCAGCATTCTGGTAGGCTGAAGTAGGAGAATCATAAGTTTGAGATCAGCTTTGCCAACTTAGCAAAATAAAAAACACCTAGAGATCTAACTCAGCACCAAGGCCTGGGGTTCAATCCCCACCCCACTCCACCCCACTCCACCAAAAAAAAAAAAAAAAAAAAAAAAGCCTGCTACTCTATCTATGTAAAAGTGTAGTGCAGTTCTTAATGTGGTAAGTCTTAATGTTATAAGCAAAAGAACAGTCTGTACACTGGGAAAATCAAGAATGTCATTATTTTCAGACAGTTTTACTGAGTTCACAGAAAACCCAAAAAGGAATCTATAAAGGGATTTCTACTTTCTAAAAAGATGTGGGGAGCAGAAATCTATTGCTCCTGCAACTAGGAAAAACTGAGGTTTTTTTTTTTAACTCTATGTTTTAAAAATGAAAACCGCAATGAAGAACCAAAGAAACAGGTGAAGCTTTGCATTGCCACTTGGGTTGGCATAGTAGACTGAAAAGGACCTCAAACACAAATCAAGTTTCTCCAAAGAACACTTACTGAGTGTTGGGGGGTAACAGAGAAAGTAGG